AATACATTGATTAATAGGTTGATTAATACATTGATTAATAGGTTGATGACAATCAAATCTTGGATCATGTACACGAAATGATGATGAACCTTCTAAAAAAATAAAAAAGCTTTTGTTACTTATTTTAAAAGAAAAATTATTAGGCTTATACTTTATGAGCAGTAAAAGTGTGAAAAAAGTGACTTACGATGGTTGATATCAATTGTTGATTGTGGAATCGATACGAAAGATACCGGTTGCATTCCATGGTATGTTTTATCCGAATATTCTTGAGATAATTGTCGTTCGACATTTTCATCATTAATATTGAGTGAAGCAGAATTGTACATGATGATTAAAATATGAAATAGAATAATCAAACAGAAATTTTCAAAAAATATTTTGATGATATATTTCACAAGAAAAAAAAGATTAACATTATTGTATCAATTTTGATCTGAGTCGTAAAAAATCTCAGATAATAACGTTTGATCCAACATATGTATCACAATACACTTATAGGCAACTGAAGAAAAAGGAATGGAGATAAACTTTGTATCAGAAAGATTACATTTTGTATAATATTTATCGAGAAATTTAGGTACAATTGGAGAACAAGACCACTGGTTTACATAGCTATTTGAAGAAAAATAACTAACAACTATATCATACATATTCAAAAATGCGTAAGAAACACCAAATAATTTATAAAAAAATATAACTTGTCCGAAACATTTATTTTTTTTGTCATCATAAAATGATACAACAAAACTTTGTGTATTACCACGTCTTCGATATGATAGAGAATGGAATTCAGAAATTCCTCTAGATGCACGACAAAAAAAACACACATTAGGATTGTCTGTTGAATCAATGACGTTTTTGACTGTATCAAGAAATTGTGATTGATATTTTGAAATATACTGTCTATCTAGATAATCATCACGTATTAATTTCTCATCAACAAAAATATTATTGATCGACAAGGTTTCTTCTCTGGTTGTGCTATGGTATTTATCAAATGAACGACAAATATGACGAGCAATCAATCGATTACCAGATCGCAAAGAACGAACAAAACGAAAAAAACTTTCATTACCGAAACAATTGTGAAAGCATAATGCACCATAACCAGTGACTTTTTCTATCAAGTGTAAATGGGCGTGTGTTGAATACAAATAAAATGTCGAACCGTAAATAGATAATGCACGTTCGCAATAAAATTTTATAAGTGGTTCAACTTCCATAACTTCATTGAAGTCATGATAGAAATACAAGGTGCGAACAAATACAAAGTATAAAGAGAAATGAGAAGAGATATGTCCAGGAAGAAATGAAAAGACAAATGGAAACATTAGATAGAGAAAAAATGATCGGTAGTCATGGGCCTTCCAATATGACCAATCAGAGAGTGAGCGCAATTCGACATTAAAATTATGTGGCCATTTGATTCTATTTAAAAAATCATTACCTGAGTACCAAGCTTCTTTAACAATCATCTTCTTCCATTTGGATAACAGCAAAGAGCAATGACCGATAAAACATAAATGCATAATATCAAGATCTATTTGGGTTGGAATGTCTAATATTTTTGTTCATGGACTAACACCTCTTACACCATAACAATTATCATCGGAAGATTGCTGACTAATCAGTTTGGCACAAATATTAATATGTTCTGATGTACGAAGATTTACCGAATTTTGATTGTATGGATATATAACATATCGAGCTTTTTCGCACCATACACCTTCTTGATCACATTCGAGGCATGCATAATATCCGTTGTGATGAACATGTTTAGTTGCTAAAGCACGAGCTGGTAAATCTGCTTTAAATAACAATATATCGACTGAAAATTTAATATCATCAACAATTAAAGTTTGTTTAATTGTATCACAAATTTCTTTTAGCAATGAATCTGCATCTGGTTTGACTGGTGCATTCCTATAAAGAAAAGAACAGTAACATCAGTGCTTATTCGAACATAAATGATTGAAAAATAGCAAAACTCAGTGATAAATAAAAAAATTTTACGTACCATACAGATAATAATAAAATATTGAATTGATTTTCTCTGAGTGGTGGTGGAATTTCAACAATGGATGCTGTTACTAACCACGTATGTTTTTTATTCCAATGAACAATAGGTGTACTATCTATATGCAGCATTAATGTAATGGGGAACGTGTTGTTGGATGATGTTTGAAGATTTTTTATAATCTTTTCATAAACTAATCCTGTCATAACATCACATGGTAATAATTTATCAACAAGTTGTGGATAACTTAATATTAAGTGTTTGTTTCGACGAATAATTTCAATCAATTGTCTATTAGACCGATCAACAGAAATGTGTTCAATAATATCACCTACTCGTCGTTGACATTGATTTTTTTCACAAATTATAGAACAATAATTATTATTATCAATAATTTCTAAACATTTTGTACACCTCAACACTTCATTGAATGACGATCGTTCTTGAAAAATTGAAACCAACTTTCTATGTGATTTTACTAATTTATTTCCAATTGGTAAGGCATTGCCGATCAATTTTAATAATTTGTTCATATTGGAACCGTTCAATTTAACTAAATTTCCGAATTCTAATATTTGTTTATGATAACGTATAAATGTAACTGGTGCACCATCATATAATGGTTCATCTAATTCTTGTTCAATACATTGTTCTAGAACAAAGGAAAAAAACAAATTACTCTTGTGACTTCCTCTTCAAAATAGTATTTGAGCAATGTGGAAATGTTTCGAGATTCAATCTTATTATGAAGATATGGAAATTATTTATCAGAAACTCAAATAGACGTCCTTCAAGAATCATAGATAACTACATGATGATGACAAAAAATGTCAAACAAATAGTTTTAAATAAATAACAAAATAAAAAATAAAGTACTTTATCCTACCATTTGATTCAATAAAATCTGGATTTAAATTATAATTACAGTTATTATCATAAATTAAATCATCTTCCAAATTATTAGTATCGATAAGTAAATTATCCTCAATATTATCATCATCAATATGTAAATTATCATCAAAATGATCATCATTAATATGTAAGTTATTTTCAAAATCTTCACTATCAATATGTAAATTATCTTCAAAATCTTCATTATCACCAGCTGATAAATACAAATCTTGTTCAATCTAAAAACATCAACAAACAATGTAAAGATTTTATTTTAAAATTGTACAATTAAAATAAATTATTTACAACTTGTTCTACAGTTGGGAGAGGTACTGATAATTGAGTTGAGTGGAGCTTGTGTTTTCGACGTGCCCTCCATCGTCTTTGTTTTACTGTATGCAGTGATGGCTCTGAAACAAAGACAATATGTGGCTCTAAAAAATATCATAGATATAGATTCATACTACCTAGATCGGGGATAATATTGCTGAAAAAA